GAGTGCGCGTGTGAGCAGGGGAGGGGCAGAGAGGGAGACACAGAATCTGAAGCAGGCTCCAGGCTCTGAGCTGTCAGCATGGAGCCTGATGTGGGGCTCCAACTCACGAACCCGAGAACATGACCTGAGCCCAAGTCCAGTGCTTAACCGACGGAGCCACCCAGGTGCCCCCAAACTCCCGCTTTTAAATGCAGCCGCTCAGAACTGGGCCCACCTCCCCTGACCCCTGCACAGTGATCCCACGCCAGCGGTGCTGTGGCCGTCACTCCCACTTACAAAGAATTGTAATGTTCTGGGGACACATCCCTAATTCGGTGTTAAGTGAGAAGGCCAGGACACAAAGCTGCATGTTTGGTGGGATATCAATCATGTAAAGTGTGTAGGGGGGCGTTTTGAAAGCAGAGAAGAGCTACCCCAGAAATGTTAACAGCGTCCCTGGGTGACGGGATTATACGTGGTTTTTGTTTTCCTTTTTATGCTTTACCCCACTTCTCAAACTTTCTACAAGGGCTGTGTGTTATTTTTAGAATGAAGAGGGGTGGTCTCCTGTGTTTTAAATAGGAAGTGATTACAAATCCTTGGGCCCAGGCCCCAGACATGTATTAATCCTGGTCTTTTGAGATTTTTGTGCATATATTTGCATATAGGGTTTTTTCCCCAATAGACCTCAATTAATAAAATTTCAGAATACCTTCGACAAGGGTCTCATTGCAGACTTGATTTGCGTAGCCTTCTGTGTGCTCTGTCCGCATCTGTGCAGCTGCCCAGGCCTCTGTTAGAGTTCCTGTGGATCCAGTATTTTTGAGGTCCCAGCACCTCCGTGGCCACGGCCCCAGGAACCACCCTGCAGCTGCTGGGTCCACGTGGCTCCTGTCTCACTAGCATTCAGGATAGACCAACACAGGCGAGGGGGTAGGTCCCCCTGTTGGGGCACCAGAGGGGCCCTGGGAGCCACAAGGGCACAGCCAGCTCAGTGAGGAGAGCCTCGGCTAGAATGCAGACCACCTGTAAGAATGACTGGCTGGTTGACTGATTGGCTATTTGGTTGATTGGCTGGCTGATTAACTGGCTGGTTGACTGACTGATTGTCTGGTTGGTTGACTGATTGGCTACTTGGTTGACTGATTGGCTGGTTGATCGACCGATTGGCTGGTTGATCGACTGATTGGCTGGTTGGTTGACTGACTGGCTGGTTGATTGGCTGGCTGGCTGGTTGGTTGACTGATCATCTAGTTGGTTGACTGACTGGCTGGTTGGTTGACTGGCTCGTTGATTGACTGATTGGCTGGTTGATCGACTGATTGGCTGGTTGGTTGACTGACTGGCTGGTTGGTTGATTGACTGATTGGCTATTTGGTTGATTGGCTGGCTGATTAAGTGGCTGGTTGATTGATCGTCTGGTTGGTTGACTGACTGGCTGGTTGGTTGGCTGGTTGATTGACTGGCTGGATGGTTGGTTGACTGATCATCTGGTTGGTTGACTGGCTGGTTGGTTGACTGGCTGGTTGGTTGACTGATTGTCTGGTTGGTTGACTGATTGGCTGCTTGGTTGACTGATGGCTGGTTGACTGACTAATGACTTCTCGGCATGGACCAGTTTTGGACAGCTTGCTTTCATCTCCAAACATGGAATCTGAGTGTAGAGGAGTCTCATACAGAAAACACATTAACACATTTTGTGGACACGTTTTCCAAAGAAGTGTGGGCTCAGTTTACAGTCCAGACAATCTTAAGTCTGGCTCAATAGTTAACCTGGGTTTCTCATCCCTGCCTCTGCCATCTGTTTAGACATCACACGCCATGCAGCCTCTGGAAAACTCCAGAGAGAATGAGTGAAAACACATGTAACATCTTGGTGGTGGTGTTAAAATAGTTTGACCCATGGGTCCCCTGACGACAGTCTGAAGGACACCGGGACTTCCTTGGCCACACAGACATTCCCATTCCCCATGGAGCTGAGGCAGGACCCCCAGCTGAGAGTAGGGGAGCCCCGGGGAAACACAGAGCACACGCGGTCTGTAACCCGCATGCTCAGGGCCCAGGGGTGGATGAAGATGGCCACAGGGTTGTGACCTCCGTGGGCCATGGCCGCGTGTCCCCGCCTGTCCCCTCTGGCCAGGGCACGGGAGCCTCGCCCGGCTGTGGGTGCAGCAGAGGAAGCCCTGGCGACCGTGATGGGGGCCAAATCCTCCAAATTTCTAAATGCGTGAGGAAAGCAAGACCGCGGTCCCCTGAGGCGCTAGACCACCACCCACAGGCAAGGCGACAACAAAAACGCAGGCTTTGTTTCTGAGAAGACTGAGTGAGGGGCCTTCAGCTCTGTGGGCAGGAGGGCCCTGATACCTGTGACCTCCGTCCCCTCGGGCCATTGACTGTGTGACCTTGAGTTCTGTACCTGGTTCAGACATGCTGAGCTCCCCAGCATGCAAATAAAGCTGGGACGGGGTCCAGGAGGCTGCATGGAACTGGGAAGGGCCACGTCTGTCGCCTGGACCCAGAGTTGGCCATGGGCCGTGAGGGATTTAATATGTGCATGATAGAACACAGACTCAGAAGAAGAGGTGGCTATCCCGGGGCCACACGGTCAATTAGTGGCAGAGCTGACACCAGAGTCCCTGACTGAAATGCAGGACACTTTCTACCCCCCACCCCCATACAGTGGGAGGCGTCCCCAGACGGGGCGGAGTGCTCAGTGTGTGTGTGCGAGGTGTGGGTCACGGTTTCCTTGAATCCATGTAACAGCCCTGGCAGGTGGACACCATCCTCCCTCCTTCAGAGATCAGGAAACAGGGACTTAAGAGTAACCTGCCCGAGGTCAGGGGTGCCTGGGTGGCGCAGTTGGTTAAGCGTCTGACTTCAGCCAGGTCACGATCTCGCGGTCCGTGAGTTCGAGCCCCGCGTCAGGCTCTGGGCTGATGGCTCAGAG